AACTGCTCATAATCCTCATACTCTAAAAGCAAAATGCAGCCAGTCATGAAACACATATATTCTCATATGCTATACATCAATAGAAAAACTGGATTCAATTTTTAGAACTTTTAATTTATAAGGAATATATATATATGTGTGTGTGTATTTCTTATTTCATAAGAAGCCCTGGTGGCATAATGGTTAAAGCTTTTGGCTGCTAACTAAAAGGTTGGCAGTTCAAACCCACCAGCTGCTCTGTGGGAGAAAGATGAGGCAGTCTGCTTCTGTAAAGATAAATAGCCTTGGAAACCCTATGGGGCAATTCTACTCTGTGCTGAAGGGTTGCTATGAGTCAGAATCAACTTGATGGCACTAGATTTATTTATTTATTTATTTTGGTATTTCATACTGTGAGAAAATTTGCTATACGTAATGCTTGCTGATGTGATCTGCAGGGAAATTGCTCAGAAAATATCTAGTCCCACTGGTGTATGGTGTCGAGGGCTATCTTTTCCACTTCTCTCTGCAGCACAGCCTATAGAGTAGCACAAACATGAAAATACTTTATCTAAATGATAAGAAAACAATATGGAAATACATTTGTATCCAATATATTTCATGGACATCAGCTGGATCCCCAGGAAAGTCCAAGTAAAGTGCAATATATAAAGTCAGTCATTTATCCTTATTTTTTTTCCTCCCTGCAGTACATCTCTTCACACATTGTGGACTTTAAAAGTGAAATGTTTGAGCAACTCCTTAGGCACCTTTGCCACTGTGCAGATGAGTTTCGGGAAGTCATAAAAACTGACATGCAGAGGCAGATGTTTGCTGAACTCTTTCTGCATTGTGACCATGGGAAGGTAGGTTAAACCCTTAAAGCAGTGGTTTTATACTATTTATAATTAGGGACTGGCTTTAGGTTTGTTGTTGGTGGTGATAGTGGTAATTTCCAATCTGTTATGGATTCAATAAAAATGAATTAATAAGGAAAAAAGAACATACAAGTACAATTCACATTTTTTATTAGCAGAGTCAAGTCTGAGTTTTTATCCTATTACTTTCTCAAATTGCTATAATTTTTTTTTCTAGAGGCTATTCTCAATTTCTCTGCTTATCTTACTGCAGACTGTTACAGTCCGCAAATCATAGCTTGAGTGGCACTGCCCGAAAGCACTTATAACTTGTCTCTAAATCCTTTTCTTTTCCATTCTCAAATCAGTGGATTGCTTAAGATTGTTTTTGGTTCTTCTGTTTGCTGGTAGCTTCCTGATAAAAAGAGCTCTGCCTACCACATGTTACTCTGTTGTCGTTGTTGTTGTGTGCCGTCGAGTCAGACCTGACTCATAGCAACCACTCCTTGGGTTTCCGAGGCAGTATCACTATGGAAGTAGATTGCCCCATCTTCCTTCCAAGGAGTGGCTGGTGGGTTTGAACCGCCAGCCTTCTGGTTAGCAGTCAAGCACCTTAGACACTATGCTACCAGAGCTCCCCATGTTACTCCACTGCTTCTTAAAACCAAGAAGAGTTTATATCAAAAAGTGTTTCTAAGAATGGAGATTGGAAGAACATAGTGTGACCTCCCAAGCCCCATTTAGGATTCTAAATGTACTTGTAACAGTGGATACAAACTTTATTGAAATCTAGAAATCTACTTGTATATGAACGTTGTATTTGTTTGTGTCCCCATGTTCCAGAAAGGATTTAAGGAAGCTTGCATAAATACATAAAAATGCAACAAAAGAACATAAATTAAAAGTAGTGTGAAAGAAGAAAAAAATAAGAGAGAAGATACTAAATGAAGTTGGAACTAAATGGAAGCTGGGTACAAAAATGCATACCATAATGACTTAAATATTTGTTTTGGGTTGTTGAAAGGTTTGATTCCAAGCTTCTTAACAGTGAATGTGAAAAGGGAAGTATGACCAAGCACACTATCGACAATGTTTGTAAGATAAATACAACTTGGTGAATAAGAAAACGTATGAATTTTGGAGTTCTAAAGAAGTCAGGAATTTCTCCTGTAGGTTACTAGCAAATAGGATTTATAAGAAATGAAATGACTTTTTTAGGGCAGTTTCTTATAACCCCCACAAGAGTAGACTAATGATATCATACCAATTCAGAAATTCAGAAAAACCAATTTTGAAAGGAGCCAATACATTATAGGCCTAGGTTCTTAGATTTCTGCTAATTTGACTGATGTCAAGATATTTTATAAAATCTGAAATGTGTATATGTCATTCACTCAACCCTCCTTGAATATTACTTCTTTCAACAGAACTTTGTAATGAAGATTTTATTTCCTGATAAATGCCTAGAGAACAGCTGGTCTCTGTTGTCAATGTAATACCAAACCATGTGTCCAAACAAAATGGAATAGTATTTAGAGGAATTAACTGAGATTTCCTTGTGCACTTTGCTTTTCTCCTCATCATTCAATAGTAGTTATGTGCTGATCTTGGAGGGAAGGTGCATAGAGCCTAAAATAAAGGAGTTAATTAAGTCTCTGAATGGATCTTTTAAACCAATATTTTAGAGGAGAGTTCTGAAAATCCAGACTTCCAATTGAAAGAGCTGGGCTCTTGATAAGGAAAAGAGAATCATAAAGTAAGGAAGAATAGAAAATATAACATCAAAGCAGTTTCTCTATGTCCGAGAAACTGTGACTAGCTGATAGGAGGAGATATAATTAGGGTTTAGAGGCTGTCTGCATCCCTAAGTCAGGGTGTAGTGCCTGATTTCTTGCTCTTAGGCCTCTATCAAGATTGGAGGGTGAGGGCAACACTATAGATACTCTTAGAAATTCCAAGTAGGTTGAGGAAAAATTTAAAAACAGCTGGGGCTTATGCTTCATTTCCCTGGATATAGCAGGTTAGGCAATCTACTTCCATAGTGATACCGCCTCGGAAAAACACAGAGGTGTCGTTATGAGTTGGATCCGACTCGATGGCAGTGAATTTATTTGTTTTGTTTTGTTTTGGAGCACAGAGACTGCAAACTTCATAGAAGATATACAGTAACAGTATTTAAACAGCCTGGTACTGGTTCAATGCAGACACGTAGAGCAATGAAATAGAATTGAGAACCTGGAAGTAAATCCATCCATCTATGAGCACCTGATCTTCAACAAAAGAGAAGTCCATTCAATGGGGAAGAAACAGTCCTGTTAACAAATGGTGCTGGCAAAACCAGATATCCATTTGCCGAAAAATGAAATAGAATCTATACCTCAGACCATATACAAAAACAATTTCAAAATAGATCAAAGACCTAAATGTTAAAGCCAAAACTATAAAATGAAGTTCCTGGAAGAGAACATAGGGACAAAACAAGGGGTCCTAATTTTCAGTGTAAACAGGCTTTCAGATACAACTAAAATGCAGGAAAAATAGAAGATAAATCAAGTAACTGAGACCACCTAAAAATTAAATACTTATGCTCATCAAAAGACTTTAGCAATAGAAGGTCCTGGGGAGAGTGGGAGAAAAATGCAGAACAAAATTCAAAATCATAAAAAAGACTAGACTTACTTGTCTGATAGAGACTGGTGGAACTCCTGAGACCATGATCCTTAGACACCCTTCAAACTTGGAATTGAACCCACTCCCAGAGATCACCTTTCAGCCAAATAATAAAAACCAAACTCCTTGCCATCGAGTTGATTCCAACTCATAGAGACCCTCATTGGGTTTCTGAGGCAGTAAATCTTTAGGGAAGTAGATTGGCCCATCATCCTTCTGCAGCCAAACAATAAAAAACCAAAACCAAACTCACTGCTGTGGAGTAGGATCCAACTCATAGTGACCCCTCCTTGGGTTTCTGAGGTGGTATCACTACGAAAGTAGATTGCCCCATCTTCCTTCCGAGGAGTGGCTGGCGGGTTTGAAGTGAATGATAACACTAGTTGTGCTCTTCAGAAAAATCAGCCATATGAGTCCAAAAAAAGGCAGGATTTGCCCAAAAACAAAGTTCAGAAGGCAGGAAGAGGCAGGAAAGATGGGCAAATGGAAATGAACAACCCAGAGAGGATGTGAGAAGAGTGCTATTATAGTCAGGAGATTGCAGGTAATGTCACAAAACATAATGTGTATAAACTGTTGAATGAGTAACTAATTTCCTCTGTAAACTTTCAAACAAACCACAATAAAATTTTTTTTTAAAAAAAAAACCTTACCAAAACAGTTAAAAAGAGAACTTACAGACTGGGAAAAATCCTTGGAAACGACATATCTGACCAAATCTCTATATAGAAAACTTTAACAACTCAACAATAAAAAGGGAAGCAATTCAATCAAAAAATGGTCAAAGGACATTCAGGTGGCTAACAAACACACAAATATATGTTTGAGAGTATTAGCCATTATTCACTGCCATCGAGTCAGATCCATCTCATAGCTACCCCTCCTTGGGTTTGCAAGGCGTTGTCACTACAGAAGTAGATTGCCTAATCTTTCTTCCGAGGAGTAGCTGGTGGATTTGAACCACCAGCCTTCCGGTTAGCAGTCAAATGCCTTAGACACTATGCCACTATGCTCCTCATTAGCCATTGTTGTTGTTGTTATGTGCCGTCGAGTTGGACCCGACTCATAGCGACCCCTCCTTGGGTTTCCGAGGCAGTATCACTAAAGAAGTAGATTGCCCCATCTTCTTTCCGAGGAGTGGCTGGTGGGTTTGAACCGCCAGGCTTCTGGTTAGCACTACGCTACCAGAGCTCCCGTTAGCCATTTAGAGAGATGCAAATAAAAACTACAATGAAAAAATTGTTGAATGGAAAACTAATTTTCTCTGTAAACATTCACCCAAACCACACATATTAAAAAAACCTATAGGATATAGATAATGTTCTATATCCTAGTTTGGTGAGATACCATCTCACCCCTGCAAAAATGACACTAATCAAAAAAACAGAAAACAACAAATGCTGGTGAAGTTTTGGGGAGATTGGAACTCTTATATACTGCTGGTAGGACTGTAAAATGGTACAACCACTATGGAAGATGGTCTGGTGCTTCCTCAAAAAACTAGTAATAGAAATACTTTATAAGCAAGCAGTCTCACTCCTAGGTATATATCCTAGAGATATAAGAACAGTGACATGAATAGACATATGCACACCCATGTTCATTGCAGCATGATTCACAATAGCAAAAAGATGGAAACAACCTAAGTGCCATCAATGGAGGAATGGATAAGTAAACTGTGGTACATACATGCAACGGAATACTATGCAACAGTAAAGAATAATGATGAGTTTGCAAAATATAACAAAGATGAATATGGAGGACATTATGCTGAGTGAAATAATGCAATCACAAAAGGACAAATAATGTGTGGTGTCACTTTTATAAAAAGTCAAGAATAGGTATACACACAGAAAGCAATGTTTTTGATGTTTACCAGGGATGGGAGGTGGAGGGAGGGGAATCACTTGCTAGATAGTAGACTGCTACGTCTAGTGATGGGAAAGGCAATACACATAGTGGGGACGTCAGCACAAGATAAATGAAGACACTGAGAAGTACGTGAGAGTACAGAATAATTACAGTAAATATCATAACACATACAATTTTTTAATGACAGTAATAGCAACCAAAAAACATATGAATGATTACAGAACAAGATATGTATGCTATATGTGTGTAGGATGCTATATGTGAGTATATGCATGTACATATATAGGTATATTTGTAGGCATAAATATATACATGTTTAGGTGTGCTACATATATACTCATATATATAATAAAGCACATAGTGGACACAGTTACGGAGACCTGCTAGACATACCCAAACACATCGTGGGATTAGTTAACTGGGTTAAAGGGCTTGGGACCAAGTCTCATGGGAAAACTCAGTCAAAT